GTATTTCCTGGTCTAGTCTAAAATATTCAAATTGGTAGGCGCATTTTTATTCTCGTCATTTAGGTCTCCCTTGTATTTGATGTTGGCACACAAGAACAATTATTGTTTACATCCTGTTAAACTTACACTTCAGTAATATAACTCCAATGTCAGCATTCCTATGACCATGGAGACGTGAAAACGGGACAAGGAAAGACATGAAAACTAATCTGTTCAATGCCTTTATAATTAAACAAATGGATCTCAGAAAGAGTACCAACTAAATTTAATTAAAGTATACTTAAAATTATCTTCTTTTGTGAGAATTATAGCAAGTTGACACTGTGCCAAGGCAAGTAAAAAATCTCAGTCTGTAATTGAAATTTAGTTATGATATTTATCTATGATTATAAAAATATTGGTGGAGAAAAACATTACCTATACAGTGATAAAATGTAGCATGGGTTAAGATCCTCAGGTCAGCAGCATCGTGCTACAAGCACAGACTCACTGAGCACAGACCCACTGAGCAAGCAATATCCCCAACAGCTTCAGGGACTCATGTCATACTGACTTTGGAGAAGTACATCTTTTCTTCTCCTTTCCGAGTCTCCTAATCTAGGTTCTAATCTCTTTTCACCTGGGCAATAGTTCTGATGACTCATCTTCCTTTTTCTTTCCTTGGGGTAAAGTCCACTTTTTAGTCTGGCCTTCAAATCCTTCACAGTACTTTTCAGACTCTCAAAACCACTTTTTTCCCTTTAAACCCAGATTTAGCTCCACCTCCTCTAAGAAGCCTGTTCTAACTGCCATAGACCCAATAATCCCTTCTGCTATACATAATTGTAAGCAGCTCTGGTGATGTAGTGCTTAAGGCATTTGACTGCTAACCAGAAGATGGTGGTTCAAAACCACAGCTGGTCCATGGAAGGAAGATGGGGCAATCTACTTCTGTAAAGATTTACCACTTCAGAAACCCAATGGGGGTTGCATTATCCCATCTATGCTGCCTTCTAATGTGATTAAAACAAAACAAAACAAAAAACAAACAAACAAACTCACTGCTGTGGATTGGATCTAACTCAGTGATCCCTTCTTGGGTTTCCTAGGCAGTATCTCTATGGAAGTAGATTGCCCAATCTTCCTTCTGAGGAGTGGCTGGTGGGTTTGAACTGCCAGCCTTCTTTCTGGTTAGCAGTCAAATGCCTTAGGCACTACGCCACCATAGATTGAAGTATAAAACACACTAATCGGAAGTGTGCAGGTTGATTATTTCATTATATCTGTGGCACCTTACCTTTGCTGTGTGTCCTATCTGAATACTATTTAAGGGCAGAGGTTTTTTTTTTTTTTTTTTTACTTCTAACAAGAAATCCCACATAGTCAGCACCTGAGATGTTTTTTTAAATGTTTAATATCTCCAGTCATTCTGAATAAACTATGCTGCATCGTTTGTCCTGGCACTATTCAGGAGGGAAACAGAATGTATAAACTCTAAAGGGCAGGGAGAAACATTTCAATTTGGATAAATGCTTTGAAAGAAGAGGACACTGTGCTTCTGGGGTTACCTGGGGCTCTGCCCTTTCTACCACATGACTTCCTGTGTGTGCTAAAGCACTCTAGGCACGCATTTACTCCGTACAAGCCTGTCATGAGCCTATTCTGTGCTGGGCACCGCAATGGGGTATAATTGTGACTATGACACACACAGTTTGATCTTGATCCATATGGAATTTACAATCTAGCTGTAAAAAAAGCTAACTTGGTACATACACCCGGCAGGCATTTTGCTAACTGCAGTCAGTTGATTAAAAAGAGAAATTACAGGAGCTTGCTCAACAGTTAATGTCCGTTGTTTTGCACTTTTTTTTTTTTTTGCCAATTGTACCAAAGTTTTGAGCTTTGGGTTTTGACTACAAGGCTTCCAAGTGGGTGTTCTGTGTAATGCAGAGAAGAAATCTTCAGAATACAAGGTCCCTCATTCTGCTTTATAGTGTAAGATTGTCCGGTTGACCCTGACACTGTGTCCAAGTAATGAAGTTATCAGATTGGTGCTTATTTTAAGGGCTGTTTTCCAAATTAGGGAGCTCTGGTGGCGTAGTACCTCAGGCATTTATTTGACTGCTAACCAGAAAGCTGGTCGTTCAAACCCACCAGGCACTCCTCGGAAGACTGGGCAATCTACTTCCGTAAAGATACTGCCTTGGAAACCCAAGGAGGGCTCACTATGGGTTTAATCAACTCCATGGCAGTGGGTTTGGTACTTTTTTTCCCCAAAATCAAAGATGGCAGGGCAGCATACAGCAGGGCCTACGTCTCATGTCACACTTGTATTGCACAGCTATCTGCCTGCATTAACACTCTTTCACAGAGAGGTTATTATGACACAACCATAGAAAACAGTTTTACTAAGAAAGTTCTCAAATAGTACATGCAATTATCACCTGGGTTCCTGAACTGAAATGAACCAAAAGTGGGAAGAGTAAAGTTTACTGTATTCTTTTTTCACTAATTCTAAATATATGTTAGAAATTCTGCATTCTGAAGGCAATAAAAAAAAAAAAAAGGCGAAATAAAAGTGAAAGTATACTGTAATTGCATGAAAGACCAAGTATTTCCTAGTATGTTTCAGTTAGATCCTTTTGTAAATTTTATCTGTATTTGGGCCTAGGGACATTTCAATATGAAGAAAAATCTTGTTGACCTGAAGAAATAATTTACAATAAGAGTGAGCCAGATTTCTAGAAATGTGTAAAAATAACACACTAACCAAACAAAAACTTGGGGGGGGGGGTTGAGGATGAATTTGGAAAAATACCGTGCTTTCTGAACCAAACCTACCTCTGAATTCTTTTGTAAATAGCTTTTTAAACAGGATGCACATTAATAAGCTTTAACATGTAGTTTAAAATTATTTATTTGGTAAATTTCTGTGATTTACATTTCAGCATTTCATCATCTGCAAAAGTGAGGAAATAATTCATTGCCCTAGTGTGCTTTTGAAAATAACATTTATAGTTCATAAAAATGTACATTCAGATGATTTGAAATGAACATATTTTAAGAGTTTAAGCACATACAAACATCATTTAATCTCACAAAATATATTAGTTTTGTTGGGAGTATTTGCACTATAAAATGGTCTTCAATTTGCCAAAGGATTTAACACTAAGTTATTTTTTAAGTTGTAATTACTTTTTTTTCCAATCTTAAGAAGGGCTAAGACCATGCTGTACTCACACATGGCTGGTTTTGGGGCAACCATTTGGACAAAAGAAGACATGGAGAAGAGTGACTTCTAGAAAATAGATGTGGAGGAGACAATCAATAGGTGTGCCTTATGGAAACTTCAGAACAAATTCAAATATAAAGTCACTTAAATACAAGGCTCCATCATACAAACAAGAAATGCAAACATTTCTTAATTAACTTTTTCTTAAGCAAGCTCATTCACACTGGAAAACATTATAATGGTGAATATTTGGTTAAGAATCTTCCCAAGGACTTGGAAGAATCCCTATAATTATTTTTCTGAAACAATGGAGTTCTCTTATGGAGAAATTTTCCAGTGCAGGAAAAGAAGGAATTAAAAAACACTCTTAAGTATTTAACTTAGATTAATATATGTGCCAAGGCAAAGCAAGTTTTTGTTCTCCATTTTTTTGAGGCCAGGAGAAAGCAGTGGCAGCATGCTGTACTTTTCAGTCAGAGAACTGCTGCCATTCCTAGGAAGATGAAAGGTAGTACATCTGGGCTCTAGCCTTAGAGAGGCAAGCTTGCTGTCCAATCCTACCTCTTTCCTTCTTCCTAGACTTCTAGCTGGATGCATGGACATTTCAGTCATTTGCATGGCTAAGTAAAACACTTCAACTTGTATTGCTAAGGTTCTTTAAGAGTTCTTGTTAAAAGACAAAATGATTAATGCAAAAAATTAGAACTTAAAATGCAGTTCTCATTTCCTTTTTCTGTTAGAAACAAAACCTACAAAGACACTGTCCCAAGGTTTTCCCAAACCAATCAAGAGTTCTTTGGCAATGTTAAGAGTAATATGACTGACATGCTAACATACTTCATGTTGCTGTTGTTGTTATGTGCCGTTGAGTTGGAGCCGACTCATAGCGACCCCTCGGGTTTCAGAGGCAGTAGATTGTCCTATCTTCCTTCCGAGGAGTGGCTGGCGGGTTTGAACCGCCGGCCTTCTGGTTAGCAGTCAAGTCTAGTTAAAGAGTTAAAATGAAATAGGAAAGCAACTCAAAACACATAGCTCATTTGAAAGAAATGAAAATGTTAAGCCTTGTCTTTTAAAAACTCTATTTGGTAAACAGAAAATATAAGCAAAAATGCCATCAATGAAGTTATGTGGCATTTTTTCCAGTCACACAAAGACCTTAACACATGAAAAAAACTTATAGAACATAACCACAATATTATCCAAAAAATGTGCAAAGGTAATTTTAGTATAAATTATGAGAACAGATTAACAGTCAACTGTAGTCTCACTTTGGTGGCAAAAAAACAATACACAGAAACAACACTATCCATTTAAGTAGACTGAACAAAGTGTTTATAGTCATGTAATCAAAATAAGTATTCATTCTCCCCTCTTTAATTTTTATGCACCACCTGTCAATTTTTTGGTATTTACAATTACATAAAACACCACCAAAACCCAAACACCTTCAATCTGACAATTCTGGGCACAAAACTGAGTATATGGAAAGTAGAGTTTTGACCAAATTTTTTAGAAAGATTCATATACCCCCAATTAACTAGTTCTGTCAAAAAGCAGCTATAAAAATACACATCATCACAAGCTATACAGAACTATAAAATTCAGTTGAGAGTGAAGAAAGCCTGGAATTCTGGAGAGGGTTGTAAGCCCAAAAGTAGACTCATCTTAAATAAAGAGCATTTCAGCCTTCTAGCGCATTCAGAGTTTCTGGTGGGTAATAACTCTCTAATACACAGAGACCGTTTCAGAAGGTGGCTACGGTCTATGACCTGCAGAGCGGGTTCTGCAATCACACTTGATCCCGCAGGCGGGCCAGTCTCTGGGACAGTTCGTCCTGCTCAGCCGAGGCCACGCTCGTGCCTACAGAGCCCGTCTGGCCCTGCGGCAGCTCCATGTTGAGGTCGAGGCCGGCCTCGTCTGCCATCTCCTGGAGCAGCATATCCACTTGGTTCTGGGGAGTGGTAAGCGTCGTCGTGCTGCTCATTGTGTCTTCCATTTGCTGCGTTTGGACGTCTAGAGTCTCAAACTGGTGCTCGAATTTGTCCATCAAGGCAGAGATCTTCTCCAGATTCATAGTTTTCAATGTCGCGTCCATCGACTTAACCACACCGGCCATCGACTTGGTCACCTTGCCCATCGTCACCGCCGTCTGGACTCTGGCAGCCACCGCATCGACCCGCGCACTCATTCTCAAGAAATTTACCGCCTGGTTCTTCTGGCGTATGGCATTTTCGGCGTGTATCCTCGCAACTTCCATGTTGCCCTTCTGAATGGCCTTTTTAATCTTAGCCTTTTCGGCCTTTTCCTCCTTATCGCATTTCTTGGCACTTCTGCTCAGTTCTTTGGCAGCGAACTTAAGATTGAACAGGTGTTTCTCCATGTTGGACATGGTCTGGCGATTACTCGAGGTCCACGGCCTGGGTCGAAATCAGCCCGGCAAGCAGGGAGGAGGAAGGTCCTCTCCAGTCCCGGTTCCTTTGTTTTGATTCCACTTCCTGTTTCTGCAGCACCGCGCAGGCGGTGGCGTCAGAGCTCGGCGCCGGGCGGAGCCATGACGAAAGTGGGGCTAGCGCGCTCAGTCTGGTGGTGGTCTTGTGAGTCGGATTCCACCAAGTTTTTAAAAATGAGCCTTTTCCATCTATTTAAAGCATTATTAAATTCAAAAAAATTAATGACCACACACTTTCTTAGGAATTATCTACTGAAGTAAACAGGATATGGCTGCTTTGCACGTAAGAAAACATCCGCACTCCAACCTTGGTCCGTCTGGCGAGACATACTACACAAAAACATTGTTCAACATCCTACTTTGGTGAGTAGCGACTGGGGTCTAAAAAGCTTGAGAGTGGCTATCTAAGATGCAACAATTGGTCTTTCCTCACTCACTGCCCTCGACTCAAACCCGACTCTTTAGTGACCGCACCTTGAGTTTCCCAATTGGTATCGCTACGGAAATAGATTGCTCAATCCTAGTCAGGAGCAAAGAAAAATGAAGAAAATCTAAGACACAGGGAAACAATTAGTCCAAGGGACTGGTGGACCATGTGAACCTCAGCCTACATGACCCTGAGACCAGACCTAGATGATGTCTGACTACCACGATCAACCACTCGGAAAGGTATCAAAATAGGAGATCTTGGATAGAGTGGGAGAAAAATATGGAACAAAACTTAAAATAATTAAAAAGACTGGGTTTACAGGTCTGATAGAGACTGGTGTAACCCCTGAGACTATGGCCCCTAGTCACCCTTCCAGCCTGGAATTGAACTTGCTCCTGTGGCTTCCACCAAGTAGTAGAACTACAGGGTGAACAGGTAGGTACATTCCTTAGAGCAATCAACCATGGGAGATCAGAAGGGCCTGATATGCACAGGGAAATAGCTCAGAGGACAGGAATACATAGGGAAAAAGGATACAGGGAAAAGGTAACCACTGGGAGGAAGAGGGAAGAAAGCTGTTGCATTATAGGAATTGCAGTCAGTGCTGTGGAACAAAATGTCTATGAACTGTTGAATAAAAAATGAATTTGCTCTGTGAACTTTAACCCAGATTGTGCACGTGCACGCACACACACACACACACACACACAAGATGTCTGACTAGAGCACTGAAGACTAGCTGCCCCATATAAGATGAGAGCATTAAAGCATCCTTTGTTTGCCTTGGTGAAAGCACTGACCTGACTCCCACTGCAATCTATGCCAGTGTTCCTCTAATACTCTTTTATTGCAGTGGGTGAAAACCCATTGTTTGCAGACATGATTCTATTTGATGTTTTATAAATACCCATGGAACTTCACTCACATTTAAGCCTGACAGGTTACATTGTAATTTTAAGTTTTGCAGACAGAGAATGGTGAAGAAAGGGGCCCCTTCCCCCCTTAAAACTGTCTGTGGTAGTTAAGGTTGTGTGTCAGCTTGGTTGGGCCATGGTTTTGAGTAACTGGACAGCTGATGTAGTTATTCCCCATGATGAGATTGTAATCACCTCCTTGGTGGAATCTTAAGTGAACACCTAATCAGTGGAAGGAGAGTTGCCTGGGGGTATGACCTGCTTCTGGTATATATGGAAGAACTTTGGGAAAGGCCTCTAGCTTTTTGACACATCTTGGCCAAGTCTTCATTTCCAGTTCCTAGACTTGAACCAGTGGCCTGTTGTGTTGTCTGCCAATTTTGAGATTGTTCCTGGACTTGAATCAGTGGCTGCTGTGTTGCCTACCCATCTTGGGATTGTGCATTTTACCTGCTGACCTTGGGTTTGTCAGCCTTAGCAGCCAGCAGCTGCCTGTGTTAGGAGAGCCTCTAGCTCCAGTAGGTCTGGAATAAGAGGCAGTGCTGAAGGCTAAGGTTGAAGGGCTTTCACCTAACCCCTACATCCAGCACTTTGAATTTGGACTTCTTTCCTCCAAAATTGTAAGAGAATAAATTCCTGTTTAATTCTCCACTTGTCATATTTTTGTTATAGTAGCACTAGAGAACTGAGACACTGTCATTATGTATTATACCCTTCAGAAATAGAATTTGAAATGGCAGCCATGAGTGCTGTACCTCTTTTCTTTTAGACAGATTCCTCAAATACAGCTCAATACTGACAGCTGTTTATAAATTAAGAAAAAGTAAATTCTCTGTACCCACCAGCCACTCCTTGGAAGGAAGGTTGGGCAATCTACTTTCATAGTGATACTGCCTCGGAAAGCCAAGGAGGGGTCGCTATGAGTTGGATCCGACTCTATGGCAGTGAGTTTGTATTTTTGGTTTACAGATGATTTTAACTCAAGAGTCTCTCTCTATCTCTCTGGGCCTCCTGGGATAGCTTGCAGATTGGTTTCCCACCAACCACACGATAGGGATGCAGTGTCAAACTCCTCTTCCTCAAACCCAGTTCTGATACATCACATCTGTATTTAAAATCTGGGCACCAAGGCTATATCCTCTCCATGTCAGCCAAGCTGCTCAAGCTGGACCCCTAGGTTCCCTTCTCTCCCACTCCGCTAGGCCCAGTCAAGACAGGCTGAAGTCAGACATCATTTGTGTCACTTGATTGGTATGGAGAATGAGCCATCGTGTTCCAGCCTTGAGGTCACTATTCCAGTTGCCTGCAGCTCTGCTTCTGGTGATCCCAACCATCCTTTAAAAGCCACTTTTTCTGAGAAGCCTTCCTCGAACACTTCTCTGTGTTGCTGCTGCTGTATTCTGTACCTCTAACATAGCATAGCATAGCACAGTACATAATGCCTGGCACTGAGACTGTGTCTTTGTCACTTATTATATTGTGGACCACTTAGAAGCAGAGCACATTCTTTTTCCTTTTCTCCTGTGGAACCCAGCAAGTGCTCTGCATATAGTAGGCACTGCATCCAAGAAGGCTTTACTGCATTGTGGAGGGACAAGGACATTACCTTACTAATAGTTTAGCTAAGATTTATTTATTTATTTTCCTAAAGCAGTAGAGCTTTTTCTTCAAATGAAATATTTCTAGAAACTAAATATATAACACAAAGTAAAGGGATGAAATCTGTTTGGAGTGGGGATAAAGGAACTCAAGCTCCTTTTTCTGCTAATCCCCCTGCCCCCACCTGGCCTCTTCTTTCACAGTCTTGCTTTCCTTGCATTTTGCAAACCAGTATTTTGAGCATGTTTCATGTTACGTTCCATATTTTGCTTAATGATGAGCATCTGATTAGGTGAGATGATTTGGAACACAGTTATCAGCAACTTTGACACGTGGCAATGTGTCAAAGGGACAATGTGTCAAAATGTGTTATAGGGAGCTATGTGCCAGGCATTATTCTGGGTATTTGACCATAGATACTGTTAACATCTCCATTTTATAGGCAAGGAAACAGAAGCACAGTTACGTAGCTTGACCCAAGAACACATCTGATAAGTGTTAGGAATAGGTTTCCACAGGTATACCAGGGAAAAGTAATAAAACAACTGGGGATCCAACAGATTAACAAGAATGAAAGGACGACTGTCATTTAGCTTAAAAAAAAGAAGTTGGTTTAGCAATAGATCTTGCAAAGGTTGAGGCAATACACTGACTGCAAGGTTCACATGAGCCAAGGTCTGGTGCCTAAAATAACACCTTGTATACTCACTGCATTGATGGCAGGGCTTCTCTTTAGGGAATGGGGTAGGGTTCAAGGATCCACATTTTAAAGGAGCCCAGGGCCAACAGGGACATAGAAAAGAAGGCCGACATGGCCTTTGACAGTTTTGCCTCTCTGAGCTCAGTAAATACAGCAGCCTTCCCCAGGCCCTACCTCTTCTTTCTGCTGCCAACACACTCAACAGTTCCCAACGTTTTCGAAATATCTATACCTAATAACTTTATTTTACATTTCTAGAGGAAGACTTTCCTTTAAGCTGCAGACTCACATGTCTTTTCTCACACTGATCCTCAATCCTTCCCCCCAACCTGCTCTGCTCTTCCTCCCACTCACCTAGTTAAGTTGTTGTTGTTGTTATGTGCCGTCGAGTCGGCCCCGACTCATAGCGACCCCACCTTGGGTTTCCGAGGCAGTATCACTACGGAAGTAGGATTGCCCAACCTTCCTTCCGAGGAGTGGCTGGTGGGTTTGAACCGCCAGCCTTCTGGTTAGCAGTCAAGTGCTTTAGCCACTATGCTACCAGAGCTCCCCCTAGTTAAGTTAGTACTTAGGAATGATACTTATGACCCCTTATCCCTATGTTGAACCCGTCTCTAAGTTTTTTCAATTCTTTATGTTCTATTTAGGGTGATCCTTTAGGGCTGTCTTAGGTTAGTAAGCCTTTTGTGTGTGTATGTGTGTGTGTACCTAGCAACCAACCAAAACAAAAAACCACATTCGCTGTCATGGAGTCGGATCCGACTCATAGCGACCCCTCCTTGGGTTTCCTAGGCAGTATCACTGTGGAAGTAGATTGCCCAATCTTCCTTCCTAGGAGTGGCTGGTGGGTTTGAATCACCAGCCTTCTGGTTTGCAGTCACATATCTTAGATTATTTTGGGTTTATGAAAAATTATCAAGGGAGATTTTGATCCTATAACAATTCTAATGGCACATGAGAACCTTCTGGACTAAATGCATGGTGTAAAAAGAGAATATGCAATTTATAATCACTGGAATAGTTAAAACTTCTGCAATTACATTATTACCTTAGAACTCTCAAAGCCAAAGTAGAAACTTTTTACTTAGAGAATGAAAAGAAATTTTAGTTAAAGGGCAGAAATTTGTACAAAGCCGTGAGTCCAATCAGTTAACAATTTTTATCATAAAATGAGAACTGAATAATATGCTATAATTTTTGGTATATATAGTCCATTTCTTTTCCTTTCTTACTGTGAAGTAAGACAAATGGTTAAACTTGAGATAAAAAGTAGGCCATGTAGCATGACTTCATTGGGAAAGAATAATTTGCCAAATTAAAGACACTAAAAACTAGAGAAATAAAACATGTGAAAAATAATTTTTGTAAAAGACCAGGTTTGCTGGTCTGATAGAGGTTGGTGGT